TCATGGAAAACACAGACAAGGCAACAAAAGAATTCAGGAAAATAATAGACGAACAAAACGCCAAAATAAATAAACAATTAGAAATCATACAAAAGCAGCAACTAGAAATCCAAAAGATAAATGACAAAATTTTAGAAATGGGCAACTCAACAGAAAGTTTTAGGAGCAAATTTGAAACAATGGAAGACAGAATCAGAGATATTGAAGACAAATCCATGGACGCCACTTTGTTAGAGCAAAAATCAGAGAAAAGAAAAATGAAGAAAACCCAAGACTGATGTGGGACACAAACAAGATGAAAAATTTGCACATGATCAGAGTTTCAGAACAGGAGGAGGAAAGGGAAAACACAGACAAGATTGTTGAAGATTTGCTGGCAGAAAACTTCCCAAATATCATGAAAGACAAAAAGCTGACCCTCCAAGAAGCTGAACAAACCCCATATAAAATAGACCCCAAAAGAAAGTCACCAAGACATATCATAATCACACTTGCCAAAACCAAAGACAAAAAGAAAGAATTCTGAGAGCATCTTGAGAAAAATGAAAAGACACTTACAAAACGGAAACAATAAGACTAAGCTTTGATTACTTGGCAGAAACTATGCGGGCAAGCAGGCAATGGGACGACATATGTAAACCTTGAAAGAAAAATAACTGCCAACCAAGAATAATATATCCTACAAAACTCTCTCAAATACGATAGTGAAAGTAGGACATTTCCAGATAAACAGAAATTAAGGGAAATTGTAAAAGCTAAACCAAACTTACAAGAAACATTAAAGGCAGTCCTTTGGTTAGAGAACAAACAACATCAGACAACAACTGGACTGTAGGACACAGGACAGCATCAGCCAGATACCAACCTAGGAAAAGAACTCTTGATTATAAAACAAAGCTAAAAGACCTAAAACAGGGAAGCAGAGATGTCAATTTGTAAACAATGACAATGTCTAAACAGTAAAAGGAGGACGAAATGGTGTAGGTATAGAATTTTGAAATGGAGAAGTCAAGGCAATAGTATGTTATAAAAGACTGGTTCAAACTTAGGAAGATAAAGGTAAATTTGAAGCTAACCAGAAAGAAAGCTAACACACCTACTCATCAGAATAAAAAAGAAGAAAAACATAAAGTCTCCGTAAACACAATATCTATAATAATGAAAGAAAAGAAAATCAACAAAAAAAAGGAACTTAGCACAGGAAAGTAAGAGGAACATAGAAAACATCAGCACCACAAATAAATAAATAATAAAAGCAGGACGATATGACAGCAATAAACTCATACCTGTTGATAATCACACTGAATGTAAATGACTTAAATGCACCTGTAAAGAGAGAGTGGCAGAATGGATAAAAAAATACAACCCATCAATATGCTGTCTACAAGAGACACACCTTAGATACAAAGGCATAAATATATTAAAAATCAAAGGATGGAAACAAATATATAAAGTAAACAATAACCAAAAAAGGACAGGAGTGGAATACTAATCTCAGATAAAACAGACTTTAGCAATCCTAGTGGGAGTGAAATGGTATCTTATTGTGGTTTTGATTTGCATCTCGCTGGTGGCTAATGACACTGAGCATAATTTCATGTGTCTGGTGGCCATTTGAATGTTCCCTTTGGTGAAATGTCTATTCAAGTCCTTTGCCCATTTTCTGACTGGGTTATTTGTCTTTTTATTGTTAAGTTGTTGAAGTTTTATATATATTTTATTAGATTCTTATGAAATATACAGTCTCTGGAGATATTCTCCCATTGGTAGCTTGTCTTTTCACCTTTTTTGGCAAAGTCTTTTGATGAACAAAGTTTTTAATCTTTATGAGGTCCAGTTATTTATTTCGTCTTTTGCTATTTTGCTTTTTAAAATTATATTAGATAATCCATTGTTAAAAGCTACGCTTAACAGTATTATCCCTCTAGTTTCTTCTAAGAATTGTATGGTTTTAGTTTTCACATTTAGGTCTTTAATCCATCTTGGATTTGTTTTTGCGTATGGTGTGCGGCATGTATCCTGTTTCATTTTTCTGCATGTGGAGATTCAGTTTTCCCAACACCGTTTATTGAAGAGACTCTTCCTTCCCCATCAAATGGACTTAGCACCCTTGTAAAAAATCAGTTGACCATAGAAGTGTGGGTTTATTTCTGACTCTCAATTCTGTTCCATTGGTTTATTGTTATATCAATACTAGGCTGTTTTGATAACTATAGCTTTATAATATGTTTTTAAGATCAGGAAGTGTAAGTCATCCTACTTTATTCTTTTCATTCAACATTGCTTTGGCTATTCGGGGCCTCTTGTCATTCCATATAAAATTGAGGATTGGTTTTTCCATTTCTGTAAAGAAAGGTGTTGGAATTTTGATTGGGATTGTGTTGAATCTATCGATCACTTTGGGTAGTATTGACATCTTAACAATATTAAGTCTAGATCAGTATTTCTTAACAGGTTTTCAATTGGCATTCTAGATAAGACAATTTGTTTTTGAGTAGTACTGTCACAATTATTACTGAATAGTAAGCATACTTGACCCCACCTGTGCCCAATAAATGTATCACCTTCCCCGAGAACTTGATCGTTAGATACCAATCCCAACACACACACACACACACACACATGCACGCACACACACAACATTTTAAAATATCCGCTGGAGGAGTATCACTGCAGTATGAAAATTCACTGCTTCAGAAAAATTTTACAATATTTCATCTTCCTATTTATAAACATGGTGTGTTCTCCATTTATTTAGCTTTTCTTTAATGTGTATCAATTTTTTTTAATAATCTTTCCTCTAAATATGTTGCCCATCTTTTAAAAAAATTATTCCTAAATACCTTGTTAATGGTATGTTAATATTAATATTATAATTATGCATTTTCTATTTTATCCCAGCAAAGCTTTTAAACTCCTTTATTAGTTATAAAAATTTATCTGAGGCTTATTTTTCTTATTTACCTAGAGATTATTACATTATCTACAGATAATGGCAATTTTATTCTTCCAGTTCAATCCTCTTGTGTCTTATTGTATTTTTTTTTTTTCCTTTCTCTTTTGACCTGGTAAGAACCTGTAGTACAGAGTTTAATAAGGGTGGCGATAATGGGTACTTTTATTTGGCTCCTTATTTTAAAAATATGATTTTAAGTTTCACCACTGTGTACTACTCATGGTATGGTAAGCTGGATCTCAAAAAACAAACAAAACCCCAACAACAATAAATGAACAAACACCCTAATTTATAGCATCTACCCATATCCACGTGTCATTTCAAACTACTAATGTGATGTCACTTGCCGAAAGTGAAATTGGAAAAGATGTCTACAACAGGCTCTCATGAGCCAGCAGGAGGCAACTCTAGGACAGCGCTGAATGATATTTGCTTTGGCTTTTAGCTATACCTCTAACTAGGTAAGGACTTTGCCTTCTCTTTCAAGTTTGTGATTTTTTTTTTTTAAATCAAGACTTGGTATTGAGTTAGTATCAATTTTTTTCTGCATCTTCTGAGATGACAAAACTTTCTCCTTCATGTGCTTATAAAATCACTTAGGCCTGGGGTTTATTTGGGGTGGGGGGATTTTACTATCAATCCAAGTAATTTGACAGTTATAGATCTACTTGTGTTTTCTGTTTATTCTAGCCCATTTTAGTCATTTACATTTTTCTAGGAATTTCATCATTTCACCTATTCATGATATTTCCTCTTTTAAAAAAATATATGTTATGTCTGTAATTAGTTTCTCTTTTTTTTTATTCCTAATATTGCTTATTAGGATCTTATCTCTTCTTATTGATCAGTGTCACCATAAGTTTATCAATTTTATAGATGTATTAAAATAACCTACATTTTGTTTTATTGATCCTATTTTGCACCTCATCTATTTTATTTTTCCTTTTACTTTTATTGTTACTTTCCTTGTTATTATTTCCTCATATTGTTATTTATTATATTATTTATTATTTTATTAATTTATTTATATATTATTTCCTTGTTTTTATTTTTCTAACTTTTGAGATTAATATTTAGCTAATTTATTTGCGGTGTTTTCTATTTAATACAATATTCTCCCTAACATCTACAAATTTTAATAGGTAGTATTTTCTTATTATTCAGTTTAAATGTTTCCTAAATTCTGCTGTGGACTCTTCTTTGACCTCTGAACTATTAGAAATGTGATTTTAAATTTCTAATCACAGGTCATCACTACCAACTTTACAGAAATCAAAATGATTATAAGAGATTACTATGAACAACTGTGTGCCAACAAATTTCATAATTTAGGTGAAAAGTACAAATTCCTAGAAGGACATATATTTCTAAAATTGTCTCAAGAACAAATAGAAAATCTGAACAGACCAAGTAAAGATATTAAATTAGTAATCAGAATTTTTCATGAAGAAAAGCCCAGGAAGAGTTGGCTTCACTGGTGAATTCTACCAAATATTTAAAAAAGATTTACTACCAAGGCTTCACAAAGGCTCCAAAAAAAATAGAAGAGGAGGGAACACATCCTAGCTCATTCTGTTCTCATTCTATCCAGTATTACCTTGATACCAAAGTCTGATAAATACATCACAAGAAAACTACTGAATTTAGTAGATCTTCCTTACCTTTTATAATTTGTGGTTACAGATGTCCAAATTTTGTTTAAGATGGTGTTTGTATTTCTAGTTTTTTTTAAAAATATTATTTTTATCATTTGGGTAGTGATTTTAAGAGGGTGTGTTATAAAAACATCTTTTGATGTTTTGAAATCCATTCTGTTGAATACACCTGTATAAAAATTTAATCATGCAGCTATATTCATGGTGTATTATAAAATAGAACCCTCTTTTTATCATGTGTATTAGCCTCTATTCATCATAGATATCACCATGATAGGTGGTGTCTATCATAAAGAAAATTTATGATTTTTTCAAGGGATCAACTGCTACCCCAATTCTGTGCATTTTAAGACAAACATATTAAGAAATTAACGTTGAATTTTATTTACCTGTTAAAATAACTGCTCCTCTTCTCAGATATGTTCGGGAGCTCCACAAATATCCTAAGGCATGAGATATCAAATCTCTAAGGTAGTTCCCGTGAGAAATGTACTGGGTGAAAAAAGGAAAAAAATATTATCTTAAATGTTGAAAAAGCACATTTGCTTCTCTTTGTGGAGCCCTGGTGGTGCAGTAGTTAAGAGCTTGGCTGCTAACCAAAAGGCCAGCAGTTTGAATCCACCAGGCACTCCTTGGAAACCCTATGTGGTATAACTTATACTGGTGCCCTGGTGGCACAGTGGTTAAGAGCTTGGCTGCTAATCAAAAGGTTGGCAGTTCGAATCCATCAACCGCTCCTTGGAAACCCCATGGGGCAGTTCTACTCTGTCCTGTAGGGTCACTATGAGTCAAAATCCACTTGACAGCAACGAGTTTGGTGTACTTATACTAAATCAGGACCAGTTTTAAAACTTGAGAATTGCCATGTATGAACTTTACCCTCGTTTGTAGGTATTATTCTGTTTAATATATGATTCCCAAGCCCAACTTGGTGCTTTCAACCTTTGGTTAGCATTCATCCATCTCCATTTGTTTACCATTCCAGTTCATGCTGGTTTCCAGAGGGACAGCTCATAAGGCAGTGGCCAAGTAATTCTAATTGTCCTTTTGGTGATCTTGAATGCTCTTCCTACCTTTACACCTATCCATAGCTCATTGTTGGTGGGTTGGAGGAAGACAAAATAGGTGGATTGAAGAAAGGAGAAGACAAGATAGATGACCAGTGTTGAAGAAGAGGAAGCAGAGAATTCTAATTTTCTTTGTCCTGAAGCCCGGGTTATAATCAGTCATTTATTATTTTTTCTTCACATTCCTTCTCCAAGATCCACCCTTTTCCCCATCACACTTTAAATCACTTTGTATATGTTTTAGGTTCTTTCTAAGACTCTTATGGTAGTAAAAACTGAAGAGTCACTTACAAGATTGTTACAGATGTTGAGCACTAGCATCTCAAAACTGTAATTTTTGTCTTTGAGCCAATAAGATGTTGACCAGTTAAACTGTGAAGCACAGATTTCTAATGTAAATTTACATGCCTGTGAAGTAGAAGAAGGTCAGTGAGGATCTGTTCATCCAGTGTTATATAAAACATTCTGATTTTCAGCAAAACTAAGAAGAACAAGACCTCAGGACTTACGTTAAAAACTCTTAACTCTGTGTCCTCCAAATACAGGATCAGAGACACCAAGCTTTCGAAGACCACATCAGTTAGCATCCACATGTACTGATTCATGTCCTTGACTAATTCACCAAAGTGCTGGATGGCGATAGTCCGAATGCCTCCATAACTCTGGAATATGCACACATAGAAAAAGGCTTCATTTGAGCATTATGCTAGGACTCCGTTCTTTAACCAGTGGGAGATATATGTGTATATATATATATGTAAATACACACACACACACACATACACAGATACACGTATATACACAGGTATATATGGAATTATTATTATCATTTATTTTTAGAAAAGATTTACCTTAGTTCTTTCTAAGTAGTCAGGTCTTATTTTGACTTTAAAATAAAATTTGCCATCAAAATTCAGAGTGCATTACAAAATTTCCTATGAAAAGTGAGCTTCCTGAATTCAGGAAGGCAGTATTTAATAGTGTCTTAAAAGTATAAACTTGGGGATAATTTATATAAAGATACTTATAGTAATGTAGTGATCTTGTATTCAAATGCTAGAGCCCTTTTCAGAGTTGCCAGTGAATACCAATGGTACCAATTACCAGTTGCTTTCAAGTCGACTTCTCGAATCATGGTGAACCCATGTGTGTCAGAATAGAACTGTGTTCCATAGGGTTTTCAATGGCTAGCTTTTTGGAAGTAGATCACCAGATCTTTCTTCTGAGGCATCACTTGGAGGACTCGAACATCCAACCTTTTGGTTAGCAGCCTAGCACGTGAACTATTGGCACCACCCAGGGACTCCTGGCATAGAACTAGGTTTCCAAGGACTACTTATGTCAGATAGGAAGGTGTTTAGATTATAATGATTCTAGAAGAGAAAAATTGCAAGTCAGAGAAACAGGTTATTTTTAAAAAATTTTTTTTATTGTACTTTAGATGGAGGTTTTCAAAACAAATACTTTCTCATTAAACTGTTAGTACACACATTGTTTTATGACAATGGTTAACAACCCCACAACATGTCAACACTGTCCCTTCTCAACCTTGGGTTCCCTATTACCAGCTTTCCTGTACCCTCCTGCATTCTAGTCCTTGTCCCTGGACTGTTGTGCCCCGTTAGTCTCATTTTGTTTTTTGGGGCTGTCTAATCTTTGGCTGAAGGGTGAACCTCGGGAGTGACTTCATTACTGAGTTAAAAGTGTGTCTGAGGGCCATACTCTCAGGGTTTCTTCAGTCTCTCTCAGGCCAGTAAGTCCAATCTTTTTTTGTGAGTTAGAATTTTGTTCTACATTTTTCTCCAGGTCTGTCCAGGAGATCCCGGTCAGAGCAGTCAATAGTGGTAGTCGGGCACCATCTAGTTGTACTGTACTGAGTCTGGTGGAGGCCGTGGTAGTTGCAGTCCATTAGTCCTTTGGACTTATCTTTCCCTTGTATCTTGTTTTCTTCATTCTCCCTTGCTGCTGAAGGGGTGAGACCAGTGGTGTATTTTAGATGGCTGCTCACAGGCTTTTAAGATCCCAGACACTACTCACCAAGGTAGAATGTAGAACATTTTCTTTATAAAGTGTGTTATGCAAATTGAACTAAACGTTCCCCAATAGAGGTCTCATACAATATTTGTCCTTTTGTGATTGACTTATTTCACTCAGCATAATGTCCTCCAGTTTCACCCAAGTTATGAGATGCTTCACAGATTCATCATTGTTCTTTATCATACTCCATTGTATGTATGTACCATAGTTTGTTTATCCATTCATCTGTTGATGGGCATCTAGGTTGTTTCCATCTTTTTGCTACTGTAAACAATGTTGCAATGAACATGGGTGTGCATATGTCTGATCGTGTGACGGCCCTTATTTCTCTGGGATATATTCCTAGGAGTGGGATTGCTGGATCATATGGTATTTCTATTTCTAGCTTTCTAAGGAAGCACCATATCACTTTCCAAAATGGTTGTATCATTTTGCATTCCCACCAGCAGTGCATAAGAGTTCCGATCTCCCTGCAGCCTCTCCAACATTTGTTACTTCCAGTTTTTTTGATTAGTGCTAGTAATGTGGGGGCGAGATGGTTATCTCATTTTGGTTTTAATTTGCATTTCTCTAATGGCTAGTGATCGCGAGCATTTCCTTATGTGTCTGTTGGCTGCTTGAATGTCTTCTTTTGTAAAGTGTCTGTTCATTTCCTTTGACTAATCTTTAATTGGATTATTTGTCTTTTTGTTGCAGAGGTGTTGGATTTTCTTGTAGATTATAGAGATTAGACATTTGTCTGACTTGTGTCCAAAAAATTTTTCCCAGTCTGTAGGCTCTCTTTTTACTTCTTTGGTGAAGTCCTTTGATGAGTATAAGTGTTTGATTTTTAGAAGATCCCAGTTATCTAGCTTATCTTCTGGGGTTTGTGTGTTGATGGTCATGGTTTGTATCCTGTTAATGCTGTGTATTAGGGCCTGTAGCCTTGGTACTATTTTTTCTTCTATGAACTTTATAGTTTTTGGCTTTATATTTAGGTCTTTGATCCGTTTGGATTAGTTTTTGTATATGGTGTGAGGTATGGGTCCTGTTTTATTTTTTGAAGATGGATATCCAGTTTTGCCAGCACCATTTGTTAAAAAGACTGCCTTTTCCCCATTTGATGGACTTTGGCCCCTTGTCAAACATCAGGTGACCATAGGTGGATGGATTTACATCTGGGTTCTCAATTCTGTTCCACTGGTTAATGTATCTGTCATTGTACCAGTAGCAGGCTGTTTTGACTACCGTAGCTGTATAGTAGGTTCTGAGGTCAGGTAGGGTGAGTCCTCCTACTTTATTTTTCTTCTTCAGTAGTGCTTTACTTATTTGGGGCTTCTTCCTTTTCCATATAAAGTTAATCATTAGTTTTTCCATCTCTTTAAAGAATGTTGTTGGTATTTGGATGGGGATTGCATTGTATTTGTAAATTGCTTTGGGTAGAATTGTCATTTTCACAATGTTGAGTCTACCTATCCATGAGCATGGTATG